CACCTAGGATGAAGTCCAGGTTCGTTCATGTATAGTTGGCTTGTTCTGCACTGACTCTACGTCGAGCGCCACAACCGCAAAACGTTATGAGGCAAGGCCCTCGTAGAATCATCAGGTGTACAATGTGAGTTTGTGTGGGGTTGGCCCGCTCTTATGATTCTGCTTGAAGCTTCAAGACTGTCAACGGAGTGGTAGGAGGCAGCTAGGTTCGTGACCAGCCTGAATATGAGCGAGACAAGTTAGTAAGCCTGACAAGGAACCCCTCGGATTATGAAGTGATAATACCTCTTATCAGCGTAAATTTTAACGATTATAGTTGGCGGTAGCGTGCGGTTCGACAGTTGTCTTGATTCTCGCTGAAGGGAACATGGATGAAACTGACAAAGGTTTCTTGAACCACCGGGCCGGCCGTTCACATTAACGGCAATCTCCGAAATAACCCAGCTGATTACATACCCTTATCTCGTTTTGCAGTGCCATTTTGTTCTTTCACCGCAAACTCCAACGAACTCTTCTTCTTTAAGTTTCTATTCCGAAATTCGTCACTGAGCGAAACTCGAGATCACCTGCCTCCAAGCTATCCGTCCAGGACCGTCATAGTCGGATTTCCGTGGATTCGACAGGAATCAAATCGCAGTTATGGCGGCTCCAAAAGGTCGTCAGTAAGGCGTAATTTTGGTTCGACGCCTCAATCGCTCATCTGATAAGAACTTTAGGATTCACAATCAGCCAAGACCTAGTGGCATGCCTCTATGAGTCGATATTCTGACATGTACATGACCGTATGTAACCGTGCGCAGAGTTTCCCGCTTAACCTATCTAAATATTTTAGGCTTGGGCTTTTCTTGTCGCCGTTCTATCCAAGCTTCTCCTGCGATGACCTCATGGCTGGTTTTATACAACGCAGCCGCTCTGGAGATAAGAGGTCGTCAGAAGATGGAGGAGGCCAAACACCATCGATCCTCTCAATATGTCCTCACAGCTTGTATGGTTGATTACTGGGACAACGTACGTTCCCTCCCTGCCTTCGGAGTACATCGATTGACATGGTGTACTGCCTCAGTTCAGGACTCGGACGCGATCTCGCACTCGAAGCGCTGAAACGTGGGGACAAAGTCATCGCGACAGGTCGTGCCCGGTCTGTTACCAAGCTCGCCGATCTGAAGGAAAAGGGCGCCGATGTCCTGGAGCTGGATGTCACTGCTACTCTTGAGGATCTCCACGAAATCGCAAAGAAAGCCATTGCTATCCACGGGCGTGTCGACGTCCTCGTGAACAATGCAGGTCAGCTTAAGATTTCGTCCATGCATTGGTCGATCAAATGACAGAACGTATCACTTTCAGGGTACATCTTAGTTGGAGCCATCGAAGAAAGCACGTTCGTCACTACATGCTCTTCGGTTATTCCCCTGCCTTATCTTCCTTGAGTATAGTCCTCAAGAGACCTTGGATCAGTTCAAGTGAGTGATTTTTTGCATGCTTTTTCCCTTGATTAAACCGTCATGATAGCACAAATGTATTCGGTGCTTTGAACGTCACCCGGGCTTTCTTGCCTTATATGCGTGAAAAGAAAACTGGAACCGTTGTTTTCATAGGATCTATCGGAGGATGGAGGTGCGTTGAAAGGCATATGCCTCAATAGTGTTAATCGAATGGTCATGATCCACATACAGGTCGGTGCCCTATGCGGGACTATATGCCACAACCAAGTGGGCACTTCGAGGTCCGTCCAAATGATCCATTTCAACTTCAGCGTCTAATATTTCTTAATGCAGGAATTTCCGAGACCCTCCACGATGAAATTTCACCCCTTGGCCTGAGGAGCATCTGCATCGATTTTGGCTACTTCCGCACCGCGTTCTTGGCTGCTGACCAGCGCGCGCCGCAAGTTGCTCGTATTTCCGACTACCAAGAGACGTCTGAACGTGCCGAGGCTGCTCTTCAGGGTATGCGCTTATCTCATTCCTACATCACTCCGTCTGATCCTTCGCTCTCCTAGCATACAACGGAAAGCAACCTGGCGATCCTCTGAAAGGCGTAGCGGTCATTGCCGACGTTGTTAAAGGCGAAGGTGGGGCGGCAGGAAAACCCTTCCCGCGTAGTCTCGCTCTTGGGACGGATTGCTACACTGGCGCGAAGAAGTCGAGTTTGGAAGCGATCGAGAGGTTGGAGGCATGGAAGGAGGTCTCGTTCAGTACCGACTATTAGGACTAGTTACTCCTTGTTGCTTGAAGAAATAAATGCCCTGTATCTGCGTCTCAGAAACAGCTATATGGCTGCAGATATATGCAACCAACGGTTGGAATTCAAGCCCACAGCTGGCCCCTATCTCCCATTTCGCGCCCTGTCACGATGAGCAATCGTTGAGCCATTTCCAGGTGTTCGATAGGTGGAAGAAGTGAGGGAAATTATTTTTCGATTTTTCGTGACTTATATATAAGTGTCGTCTTGACCAGAAAGTTCTGGGATTCGAAAGTTCGAGCCGTGCGAGCCGTGCGAGACGTACGAGCCTGCTTAGCTAACGCAGTGGGCCTCGCCAACTCGTCAGCTACTCTACACTGGCAGCCAGCAACCGCTCGACACAGAATTGCACCATTATCTGCTCCATCATGGCCTCACCGTCAGTGTTCTCCATCCGCTGAAGCAAATCACAGGAATTTTCTCTCCAAGATGCCATGGGAAGCCTAGCACTGGGTTCGCAGAAACCCCAACACCCACCCAACGTTTCGCAGGGCGAGGGCGGGCACGAACGATGGACGCACGGGTAGTGACACGGCAAGCCAGAGCACGGAACCGCTTGCCTGTGCCGGTCTACGTTCTGGACACGGGGCGAGTACGAGCAGAGGGAGAGGGAGAGGGAGAGGAGGGCTAGGGCTAGGAAGGCAAGGGCGAGTCCCTCCCCTTACCAGCCCCTCCGACCGCGCCTTCCCAATCCCATTCCGCCCTTCGCATGCAGCACCCACAGATACCTACCATCGCTGTCCCCGCCAACTCGATCTTTGGCAACACAGCTACTCGAGAGGCCCGGACGTGCGGGCTTGAACATGACACGAGTGCAACAAGGGACAGGAGGGAGGGGCCCACGCCGTCCTCGCCCTGTTCTACCCTCCTCGTACGCCGTCTCGCCATCCCGACTTCCTCCTTTCCACCCCGACACAAGACCTTTACACACCGCACACCGCGCAGGTCAGCCGCGCGCCGTTGCCCCCATGCCTAACCCCCAACTACCACCTCAAGCTCGACCACAGACCCCTCACGACTGGGCCGCTCACGAGCACAAACATCAGCGGTACGACGGGCGAGCGAGGAAGTGAGGAGCGAAGGTTAGCTTCGAGAATTGGCACGACGGACAGGAATATGGTTATACTATGGGGATTAGTAAACCATCTCTCTGAGCCACGCTACCGCAAAGAGCTACCCTCGTCCTGCCGTTGTAAATACCTATTAAATGCACTTATTTTGTCATTTTTCCTCGGCTGGTTTCTATGGCAGGGTGAAAGCCTGCGACGGCGCCGGGCGGGCGGTTGTGCTGCGCTGCCCGCCCTCATCGACGAGGGTCAGCACCTGCTGACCCTCCCTGCCCACTTTAATTTGTGGGCAGTCAAGCTTGTGTCAGATTATCCTCCAACATTACCTAGTCTTAGGAACTAGCGAGCTAATAATTATTTTCTGAGTTACTTTCTGCTGGGGCCACTGCGGGTGGAGGTCAGCCACCTATGGCTCGTACGTCTCGCACGGCTCGAACGGCTCGAACTTTCGAATAACGGAACGTCCTCGTCTTGACAATACTGACGTCCAATCACATTTTCGTTCTTCCCTCTCACGGCTCACCGGGCCGGCCCTAAATTGACGTCGACACGCTTTCTGCTTCCATCTTGCCTCCCACCACCACCACCACTTCGCGCTCAACAGGGCTTCAATCTTCACATTGTGCGCATATACGCGAACTTATATGCTTTTTTTGATTTGAATAGACGTCTAGCTGCCCTTTAGATGTCGCGTCGGCGGCCACCCCGCCCTCGTCGCGGTCAACAAGTCCCAGTGCTGGAGCAGCTTCGACTCCTCGACGAAGAACAAGCCGAATCTAATCACGTCTTCGAAGAACGACGCTCGCTCCTCCTTCGTCAACACGCCTTCCCAACACCTACTAGCATTCAATCTTTCCCACCCGAGATTCTTGCGGAGACGTTCTTACATCTCGTCGATGGCGACTCAAGAAACCTGATATTTCCTTCGCACGTTTGCCGGCTCTGGAGGGACGTCATCCTTCGCGATGCTGCTCTATGGACATGCATACACCTCGGCGACCGCAACGAATCCATAGTGGCGCACTGCGCTTCCTCAAGATGTGCAAAGAACGAGCTCGCGAGCGGTCGCTGTCGCTTTCGATCAACAACCGCAAGAAGCTCATGTCCATGAGCAGCTTTAAGAATTCTTTGGCCGTTTTAACACGCACCATTCGGTGGGAGTCGATCGCTTTAACGACCAACCAGATCGAGGAGTGCGTCTTTTTCATCGATGGCTTGCCGCCAAGCAGTATCGCAACAATCAAGGATTTATCCTTTACGAGCCTCAACAGACCTACATACTATCCCTTCGGCGAAAATTTGCCAAAGAACAGACTGGACCTACAGCGTTTCGCGGCGCTCAAAGCACTTACCCTTGACTTCCCTAACCCACTGTCAAAATCCAAAGAAGCATGTTCTTGGGATCAACTCACTGACCTGAAAATCACTTGCAGAATGCGTTCAGAAAAACTACTAGCAATCCTTCGCCATTGCGTCAGCTTGGAAAATTGCTCTGTTTCGCCGGAGACCGACTTCGACAGAAGCGACCTAGAGAAGAGCGAGCGTTACCCGAAAAGGGCTCGCCTCCTCAAGCTGAAGAAGCTTGAACTCGTTTCCGAACGTGTTCCCTCCCTCCTGCCTGCCACTCTCGTTTGTCCCGTCCTTCAGCAGGCTACCTTCGCTTACAAATATTGCTCCAACTTTGACGACTCTGACTACTACTCCGACTACGACTCCGACTCTGACTCTGACGGCAATCTAGACAACGAAGCCACAGAACTCAAAACTTTCATCTGCAAGTACGGTGAAACTCTACTGAAGCTGCAGGTTCCTGGAGTCTTTGCCAATATTCTTAGCGACTGTCTTCCTAAACTCAAGAACCTAGAGGAACTTGTCGTCGTTGCTCCATATCATGATGGTGATGACTCCGACGACTGGACCGTGGAGGAAGACCTGGACGATTCGGGAGCCAGATCATTCCTTTCTCCCCTCGCTACTACGGGAAACAAGTACCTCCCTCGCTTAAGAGCCATTCAAGTGCTCGAACAACCCAACCGAACCAAGGACGGCGTCGAGGAGTATCTCTTCCAAATAGCCAAGTCTCGCATGTCAGGAAAGAAGGGTGTAGTTCCTTTGGAGCGCATAATCCTCAAGACGCCGACCCAGAGAACACAGAAATTAGAAAAATATCGCAAGAAGTATCGAGAATGGGAAAGTCGTGGTCTTCGAGTAGATATCGATGGTGGGCACAACGTTTTTGTTCGTTTTCTGGGAGGTTTCAATCCTGACTCGTCTTCACAGGACCAATGCCAGTGAACCGTTACTTACACTGAAAAAGAGAGTTGATGCAATTCTGACCCCCCTATGCAAGAATATCAAACGTAGAACCTATAGAACCAGAGCAATAATACGAATTTCACTCTGGTGCTCCTTCGAATGGTTGTCCGCTTTTTGAATCTCGGGAGCTCTCTTCGGGCCGGGAACAGCCGAAACATGCCAGCTTCGTAATGCTACCGTTCTATCTAGTCTTTCCTTCAACCATCACCACGTTATATACTCCCCTTCAATTGGCCCAAGCCGCCGTGCTTTACCATACGTCCATCGCACGTATGTAACTTTTACATCTTTTCGCCAATGGGCTGCTAATGGTGATATGCCGTGTAGATGTCGCGTCGACGCGCTACTCGCGCCCAGCGCGGGGTCAAGACCTCAGAATTCGAAGTGGACGAGGAGATCCGTTTGCTTGATGAAGAACAAGCCGAAGCCAATCGCCGCTTTGAAGAACGACGAGCACGTCTCCTTCGCAGGAAAGCCGGTCTTCCGTCGGGTTCCGTTGGAGTTCAATCCATGCCGCCCGAACTTCTCTCTGAGGTATTCCCGCACCTCGTCAATGGCGACTCGAGGAATTTGGTGTGGCCATCGCATGTTTGTCGGCTCTGGAGAGAAGCCCTTCTTCGCGAAGCCGCTCTCTGGCGCTTCATATGTGTCGGCGAGAAGAACGAGCAGAAGCGCGTCAGTCTGGCTTATCTTAAAACTTGCATAACAAGAGCTCGCAGCCGTCTCCTCTCCTTTTCTATCAAGCCTCACAACGAGTATATGTCATCCGAGGCCTATTTCAAGGAGATTCTAAAGGCAGCAACCACAGGCACCCAGCCATGGGAGTCATTTTCCTTCACGACCTTGGAAATGGCGGATTGCGTTCTGATACTCATCACAATCCCAAGGTGCCAACCAAAGGTTTTCGCTCCGCTGAAAAATCTATCTCTCACATGTCTTGGTCGACTCCAGCCCTGGTCCCTATATACATTGGACCCTCAACAGACGTTACTAGGCCCGGTACCCTTGCAATCACTCCAGACCCTTACCCTTGATTTCGGCTCTTCAATCTCCGCTGCGAAGACATCAGTCTCATGGAATAGGCTTACGAGTCTGAAGCTCGCCTCTGACATGACATCTTTGGCCTACCTTTCTATCCTCTGTCTCTGCACCAATCTCGAATCGTGTTCCATATCGCCTAATACCGATTTTGACCTTGGGTATGTGACGGGGTCCTATGAGCCGGCAATTTTGGCTAAGCTGAAGAAACTCGAGCTCGTTTGCGACTCGAACCCCGCTTTTATTCCTTCCCTACTCGTCTGCCCTTGCCTTGAGGAGGCAACCTTCAAATTGAATCACTGTATGGAAGTGGGAGATACCGAGTTGATAGCCTTCCTAGCAAAGTGTGAGGCCACACTACGAAGATTAAAACTCTCAGCAGATTTTTGTCGTACCGACAAGTGGGCGGGTTCTATGCAGAATCTGGAGGAGCTCACAATCATGGGAGGATATGACAGCGACTTCGACAGTGACGACAGCAGTGACTCCGACAGCGATGACGACAGTGACGACGAGGACGAATTTTCCGATCATACTATTTCCAGTTTCTTCTCGCCTCTCGTTGTCACGCCCAAAAAGGCTTTGCTGCCACGGCTAAAAGTCCTTCAGGTCATCGATCAGAGCAAGAGGTCAAAAAATGCGGTGAACGCCTCGCTTTTCCAGATCGCAAAATCCAGAATGACCGGAAAGCGAAATGTGGCGAAGTTACAGCGTATTGTCTTCAAGATGGTGGATCGAACGGACGCGAAGATGGACCAGTACCGCAGGCAATATGCGAAATGGGAGAAGGATGGTCTGCAAGTCGAACTCGACGAATAGGACTACTGGATCGCCGTCGAGTTCTGACTGTTGCTCATTGCCGAACGCGACGGACACGACTGGATTTCGTGGAGTTATTGACTGTACTGCTTCAACACAGGCTAATTATACAAACCTCGTATCGTCACTCTCGCTTCTGAATGTGTATAACGCTCGGCGATTTGTCTGCAATCGTTCGGTATCGTAGCCAACTGAGGACGATTACAGGGGCTTAGTACCCAAATCTGGTAACTGCGCATGTGCGACACCCGAAATCCCGATCTGTTGCGACAGGACTTTTGGCCTCTTTTCTTTTACCTGCGTTGACCGGGAGGAACAAGGAATTTTCGAGTTAGATCTACCGGGTAGAGTGGTAGACATGCGGCCGTTCACGCACCTGCGGTCTCTAAACCTCGACTTCGAGGAGGAGATCAACACAACCAAGGTGCTAGTCCCGTGGGGACAGCTAACAGACTTCAAACTTACGTCGAGCATTGACTCACACTTGTGCCTTTCCATCCTCCGTCACTGCATCAACCTGGAAACCTGCGAGCTGCACCCCAAGACCTATAAGGACGGAAAAATCGAGAAATATAAACAACCGGTGCGGCTTCCTCAACTCAAGCAGCTCCGTATCATCACTTCCTCCGACATTCCCGCAATGCTCGTTGACAACTTTCAGTGTCCGGCCCTCCAGGATGCATCCTTCCACTACGATTACGACGAGGAGCGTAACTACAGCTTCTTGCTGTCTTTCATTGAAAATTGTCGCGAAACGCTCTTAAAGCTGGAGCTTCCTGGACTCATAACCGACGAGTTCATTGAAACGCAAGGCAATTTGAATGTTCTAGAAGAGCTCACAATCACTGGTAGATTCGGATGGCCAGAAACCTTCGAGGATCTCATGGACGGCCGCGCCGATAGGCCTTACGATGCCGGCATGCGCGCTTTCTTCCAGGATCTCAAGAGACGGCCCGAAACCCTTCCGAAGCTGAAGGTTCTTCGGATACTTGACCAGCGCCCAGAAGAGAAAACCTCTGTGGGGCGCGAGGTCGCACAATTTATCGAGTCCCGCCTAGCAAATTGCAAGGATTCGACACCCCTTCACATCGTTTTCAGGTTGAATAAGGATGCCAGTGAAGAACAACGGAAGCTAGAACAAAAATGTCGGAAATGGCGGGCCCAGGGTTTTACGATGGATTTCGAGTAGTTGTATTTGGTCTACTCGTTCGTTCTGCTACACGGTTGTATTATACACGCGTTCTTCCTGACTCTTCCTTTGAGCCGTTGAAACAAATATAATGGAGGTATGGGAAGCCTTAGCCACAGTTTGAACCATGGATAGTGAAGGAAATACTGCTATATCCACAAGAACCTCGAAGTTGTTGGTGCTGTCGACCACAATTGATAGTGCTCCTATATTGACCTGATCTAGTAACCGCGCAGTCGGGACTCGGCAATGCCAATTAGCGATTCTGTTCAATGCGACGGAATTTTTCGCGTCTTTTCCTCTTACTTCTAGAACCACACTCTTCCGGCTTTTGATGTAAGTCTCAACTCTTTTATCTGCATTTTAACCTGGTGTTGTATCACTACTTATCGTGCACCGCAGATGACCTTGTACAACACTGAAGAGGAGCTCGATGCTCTAATCGATAATTATCGTCGCGGACTTGACTCACTCGAACGGGAGAAAGTCCTTCGTCGAAACCTGGGCCTTAAAAATCGCCCATCTCTCATACAACACGTTCCACCCGAGGTCTTCCTACTGATATTCTCGATGCTCCTGGACAACGATTCAAGAAACATGATTTCCCCATCGCAAGTGTGCCGTCTCTGGCGCAGTTTGATCACCGAGACGTCCGCGCTGTGGACGTGTATCGCGCTTGGTGATTTCGACGAGGATGAGGAATCTGTTCACGCCCACCTCCGGACCTGCATCCAACGTGCCGGCCCACACCCCCTTTCGCTTTCAATCAATCCCAATAACGACTCCATGGGCCCGGACACCCTCCTCGAAGCTGTTTTGAAGGTTGCAAGGAAATCTGAATGGAGCTCGATAAGCTATGTATCGTCCGATATCACCGAATTTGTCCCTTTCTTCGATGGCAGGTTCGACCTCGGACAAATCAGGAGTCTATCTCTCACATGCGACGAACGGGCTGGGGATTCGGACGAGGAAGAGATTTTCGAGTTGGACCTACCAGGCGGTATGGTCGACATGCGGTCTTTCTCGCACCTCGGGTCGCTGAGTCTCCACTTTGTACAGCAAATCGACACCACCACGCTGCTAGTCCCGTGGGCGCAACTCAGGAACCTTGAACTGGAACCTGACATTGACTCCAGTGTCTGCCTGTCCGTCCTCAAATTGTGCATCAATCTAGAAAACTGCACGCTACACCCCGACACCGAGGGCGACCTAGATATTATTTACGACGAAGATTACAAACGTAAGCCGATCCGGCTTCCCAAACTCAAGCAGCTCCATCTTTGGACCTCCCAAGTTCCCTCGTTGCTCCCGGATACTCTCAAGTTACCAACCCTCCGAGACGCAACGTTCCATTACAGCAGAGAGGAGGAGTATGGCGACTGCATTTATTTGCTATCTTTCATTGGAGATTGTGGTAGAACGATACGGAACCTGCAACTTCCTGGACTCATGACCGACGATTTCATGCAAATCCAGGCTGACTTGAAGGTCCTGGAAGAGCTCACGATCACTGGTCCGTTCGGCTGGCCGGAAAACATCGAGGATTACGAAGACAAAAAGTATTATGACGAAGGTGTTCGCACTTTCTTCAAGAATCTCAGAAAACAGCCTGGAAGCCTTCCAAAACTGAAAGTCCTTCGAATGCTTGGACAGCGCCTCGAGGAGAAGGCCTCCATGGAGCGCGAGGTTGCACAGTTCATTGAGTCCCGTCTATCGGAGCGCAAGGAGTTGGGCCAATTGAAGGTCTTTTTCAGACTGGATCAGGATGCCAGCAAAGAGCAGAGGGAACGAAGGCAAAAATATAGGAAATGGCGGGCCAGGGGTGTTACAATAGATTTCGAATAATTGGCATCATCTCATCGCTAAGTCTGCCAAAAAATCGTAGATTTTTAGGTATATGCACCAAATTATTATCACCCGCCTTCGGATCGGGACCGTCTATTTCATCCAAAAGTCCTTGAAGCTATCGAGCAGGGTTATAGGGCTGAAATGTCCTCATCCGGCAACCGGCGTCCAGGTAGTTGCGACGTGTTTGTGTCTTTCCTTCTTACTTGAATCTCCACTGGACCGAAAGCATCTGGCAGCAGCCCTTAATGTTGGTCGTAACTTTCTAATCTCATTTCTTACTCCTGATATCGCGTATCCCAGATGAGCTTATACAGGAGCTCGAAGCTCTGGTCAACGATTATCGCCGTGATCTCGAGCGACAGGAATCGCTTCGTCGAAACCCTGGCCTTAAAGGCCGGCCATCTGCTACACAACGCGCACCACTCGAGATCCTCCTAGAGGTATTCTCAACCCTCCTCAATAACAATTCAAGAAACATGGTCTTTCCGTCGCATGTGTGTCGTCTCTGGCGAAATTTGATTACCCAGCCTGTCGTCCACGCTATGGATGTGCATATCGCTTGGTGATTTCGACGAGGATGACGAAGCTGTTTTCGACTACCTCCGTGCTTGCATACAACGCGCCGGCCTATGCCCCCTTTTGCTTGCTATCAATCCAAACAATAAGCGGATGAACCCGGCCGCTCTCCTCGAAGCCGTTCTGAAGGCGGGAGGAAAATGTGAATGGGCGTCGATAAACTATTCGCCAGACAAGATTGCCGAATTTCGCCCTTTCTTCGACGGGCGATTCAACCTTGGACAAGTCAGGAATCTGTCTCTTACCTGCTGCGTGCGGGCCCGAGGTGTGTTCGAGTTGGATCTACCGAGCGGAGTAGCAGATATGCGGCCGTTCACGCACCTACGGTCTCTGACCCTCGACTTTTGGAAGAAGATCGATATAACTAGGGTGTTAGTCCCGTGGGACCAGCTAACGAACCTGAAGCTTACATCTGGCATTGCTTAACGCCTGTACCATTCCATCCTTCGCCACTGCATCAACCTAGAAAGCTGCACGCTACATTCCAAAACCACCGGTGACTATGAAATCCTCTGGAACAACAACTATCAGCACAAACCACTCCCAACTTCCTGAGGTCAAGCAACTCCACCTCCCGACCTTTGAAGTTCCCTCGTTGCTCCCAGATAACCTCCAGTGTCCGGCCCTCGAAGAGGCGACTTTCTTTTATGAAAACGAGGAGGAAGAAGGCGCCCGTCGTTTCCTGTTTTCTTTCCTTGAAAGCTGTGGCCAAACGCTGCTGAAGCTGGGGCTTCCTGGAAAGGCAATCGACAGTGACTACCGTTTCCAGCGAGTGCTAGTCCACTTGAGGGTTCTGGAGGAGCTTACCGTTACTGGTCCGCTGGGCTGGCCAGACAACCTCGAGCGTGACGGAAGTCCAGACTCGCAGGTTTACGACGTGGGCACATATTCGTTCTTCAATGGTCTCAAGAAGCAGCCGTGAAGTCTTCCAAACCTGAAGATCCTTCGTGTGCTTGCACAGCGAACACGAACAGAGGAGAAGATTTACGTGAAGCGAGAGCTCGCCCCGTTTCTCGAGTCCCGTCTATATGCCTGCACGGATTCAGTCCCCCTTACCGTCATCCACAGAATAGAACCAGGACGCTAGCGAAGAGCAGAAGGAGCGAAGGCAGAAATATGAGAGAACGCGAGCCCTGGGTGTTACGGTTGATTTCGAATGGTGACTACGAACACCCGTGCGTCCTACAAGATTCCAATAAGAGACAAGCTAATTATGGGCTGCAGTTCCGCTCAAGATTGGCCTGACCCAACTTGTCATGGATTGGATATTCTTACCACCCTTTAACCCAAAGACCTCCACACCTTACAACCGACTTGCCGTCACTTTGACTCGGCAATGTGATATCGGTACGATAAGCCTGTGTGTCCTGCAGGCCCGTGCCACCGGTTTCTCCTCTCGTCTTCCCTTGTTGCGCAGTAACCAAAACCAGGGCAGCTAGCATCGAAGCAAGAGGGTAGCATGCGGAAGGTCCTGCTGCATCCCAGGCTCTACCGTTCACAACCGGGGAGGCTGGGAAATACAAGAGCAGCTCTTGACTGACGCTGATACGTTTGACGCTCGATATTTAACGGCAATGCCAATCAGACCACCGTCATTATGGCTCGGAGGGGCTATTCTCAGCGACATCGCCCTCTCATCCCTCTGTCAAGGATATCCGTCTCCAGGTCGTTGGCTGATGGCTTCTCCCGAGTTCCCGCGCCTGGTCGTTCTTTCCGTCAGCAACGTAGAGGACAGCGTTCTGCATAGTCATAATGGAATAGAAGATGGCTATGGTGGGGCTGAAGAACACGCTATTCGCCATCGGAGACCTTCCTTCCGTGTCCGTCTCGTTTCCTAGGCGCCTACGATGAGGATTGCTCGTCATGACCCGCGTTTTTGTGCAACCATCGTTTTTGGAGCTTCCACTGGAAATATCGCTTGATCTTTTCAGGTCGGTCTTTCCGATTATACTCAAGGCATCTGCGGCACGATGATGATCATTCAAGGATCATGGGAAGCTTTGGAAGGCGTTCGTTGACCATTCAGGAAGATGGACAGACGTCATCAGTGGGCCGCTTTATCCGCCCTCCTGTGTCGAGCTGTGCTAACCTATGCCGATTTCAGGCCGTCTTCGATCTAAGTCGACCATCTCGTAAGTTGTTGCTTGGCTAATGTCTTTCTACCTATCTATAGAGCCATAAGAAAGACGTCGATCTCTGTTGCCCGTTCGATGGAACTGCTCCCCCCATGATCAGCAACTATCACTCCGCGCTTGCGGTCGCTCTTCTTCCTCTCAGTCTTGTCGATTGCGTTTTTTCTCAGCTAGTCAATGTTACTTTGGATGAGACGAGCTTGCTGATCACTTATAGTCCTCAGAGGAGTTGGAGGAGACTCGATGACGCGGACCCGGGGGGTGCTATCCTCAACTACGGCGGATATCATATGGTGACGGAGGATCCTGAGGCATACGCGAACGTTACGTTTACCTGTAAGTCCTTCACTAGTATCCTTGCAGAAGGCGTGAACTCGTGTGCAGATGTCTCCTTTTATTTCATTGCTTCGCGATATCCTTATAAAGTCACCACCGCTGTTACGATTGACGGTACAACCACGGTCCTCGACCTGCAAGACCACTCTGTACCCGTACAGACAGGAAACGCCGTGAGCGCGAGCAAGGGGTGGGATATTATCCAAGCGTTCCCTGGGACGATAAGCGCCCGGCACACCCTCACGATTGGGATAAATCCAGGAGACCCTTACGCAGTGCTAGACGCCCTTATGTGAGCACTGTTGAAGCTTGGAACTGCGTCAAAATGTTGCTTTTCTTACTCTTCCGACAGGTTTGAAGTGTCCGAGTCCGAGCCTGATTCGATAGCGGCAGTGAATCCTTCTACCGCAGCGACTGTCACCAGAACGGTTACAGCAACTTCAGCGGCTTCGAGCAACGCTTCTCAGTCCGTTCGGTCATTGACGATTGCACTTGGCGTCGTATCCGCAATCCTTGTGATCGTACTACTTTTCATCGCCGTGTGGTGTTTTCGATCGAGAAGGCCGAGGCGGAATAGTGTCAAAGCTTTCGAAAGTGGAAACCAATTCACCGCACAGAACCGTCCTGACGCCGCACACGCGAGCCTGTTGGACGCACCTGTAGACTCTTCAACGACGCTCACCGCCTCCCATGCAAAGATAGTACCACTCTCTTTTCCTGGCTGGCGGCAATGGGAACCAAACAAGAATTGGCAGGCCGAATACACCGCGATGCCCCAGATCGTTGTGGAAGACAGCCTACACATTCGGTCTCACAATACGACGCCTTATTCTTCCGATGGAACGTCAACGAACACCCGGGTTCAGGCCCAGGAGCCATCCAATTCTTCTTCTCATGAACCCGTGGACAATGTGAATAGCGGCATCAGAGATGTTTCGCCGTCGCCAAAGATAAATATGGTCGATCAATCACCACAGACTGCGCCTTCGCCCTCGATCATACGTGTGCGTCCACTCCCGCCTGTCCCTCGGTCAGTCATGCAATCATCCCCCTCTCTTTCTCAACCATGGACGCAAGGAAGCCCGTCGGTGTATAGCCGGGACACGAACCCAGGAGAATATTTCTTCGACCAGAACGACCCATTTACATCGGACCCAGCGGAAGATATTCCGCATCATTCACCCACATCGCCATCAACTAAAGGGATCTCGACGCGAGGTACGACGCTCGACGACATACCACCTGTGTTGCCGCCGCTTTCATTGACTCGAAAACATACTGCATCTTGGGGCACGCCAAAAAGAGACTCTGGCATTATGACGGACATGCTTAAATTATACTAGCAGACTCGGTTGGGATTTGGCATATCGGACAGTTCATATATTTACCTATCCCTTAATTTCTTCGTATCTCTCGGGCTTCAGTAGGGTGTCCCAAGTTGTTGTATTCACGGACTGCATCGTTTTCTGTGATGGGCACCTAATCCATACTCGTCAGCGCAGGGAACCCTCCTGTTTGATATTTTTTCCAGATCTCCATATTCCTTTCATTATTAATATTGGGCCCTCTGCATCCTTTGGCGATTTAGCGGGATTTGAGGTCTTCTATCGCCGCCACACAGGTTTCCATATAACTTCCTTTTTTAGCCAGAATATGGGGGAAAACATTCGAGAATGGATTAGCCTATCCATCGACAGGATGTTGACTCGCGCTTTCAACTTAGACTACAACCACCATCTTCATGCGAAATTCTGAAACCTCAAGTTCGCCTCGATCCCCCCTTTCCCGACATGAAGATGGAATCAACCTCGCTGCTCACAGGTGTTCGGAGATAGCCATGAGCGGACAGCAGATATGTTCGTTTTCAGTAGCAAGAAAATAACCAGGCACTCGCGGTGCGTAGCTCTTGATTGCCTGAACCTCCAGTCCATCCTAATAGATTAATGGACTCCTATAGAGGGCCGCAAACCCTTCGAACTTCGCCAGTACAGCTAAAGTTCCACCAAGAATCTCACCGCCACCCGAATCGCCGTCGAATCAGCCGTTCACCATGTCTCTGCCTCGTGTTCGCCACCTCTGTTACATAAAGACCTGAGTGCTTCCACCACGAGTTTAGATCGATTTGGATGCTCCTTAGGCTGATTCGGCTACTCGACGGCCAGCGGCACCACCGAGCTGGAGCCATCGTCTCCGAAACTTGACCATGGGCCACCATCTTCCTCAAAAATCGACTCTCAAACTTTGTGCTCTCCTCCTTGCCCTCATTTCATATGCGGTTGCCGACCGAAACGTCACGGTGGACGACGGAGAC